GAGACAGAAGGTAGATTGGTTGTGGCCAGGGGCTGGGGACAATAGGGAGTAACTGTTTACTGGATACAGGATTTTATTATGGTGTGTTGAAAATGTTTTGGAACTAGATTTGAAAAAAACAAAAACCAAATAACCCATTGCCATGAAGTTGATTCAGACTCATGGAAACCCCATGTTTTAAAGAGTAGAACTAAGATCCTCAGAGCTTTCTTGGTTGCTATCTTTAAGGAAGCAGATCACTAAGACTTTCTATCAAGGCACCACTGAATGGCTTTGAACCCCAAAACTTTTGGTTAATAGTTGAGTGCATATCAGCAATCTGTTGGAACTAGATAAAAGTGGTGATTGCACAACCTTGTGAATGTACTAAATGCCATTGAATTTAGTCACCTTAAAATGGTTACTTTTATGTTGTTGCCATTATGTGCCGTCACGTTGGTTCTGACTCATAGCAACCCTGTGTAGAATTCCAGAGGAGCAACTGATGGCTTTGAACTGCCGACCTCGTGGTTAGCAGGCCAGTGCTTTTCCTATAGTGCTGTACTAGGACTCCCATTTGAAAGGACGTGAGTATGATGTCTTTGTTATAATGGAAAGGCAGAAGCACTCCAGGCTTCTTCTTCTGCTCACCAGAAAGTCCTTCAAGCAAAAACTCAAATTCACTTCCATTGAGTTGACTCCAATTTATAGCAACCCTACATAGGATTTCTGAGGCTGTAAGTCTTCATGGGAACAGAAAGTTTCCTCATTCTCCCATGTTTGAACTGTTGACCTTGGGATTAACAGTCTAACGCTTGTGCTTCTGTGCCACATCAGGCCTCCTAGAGACTCCTTAGCAAAGTTGCTTAATGTCTAGCCTCTCTGCTCTTTGACTTGAAGTTGGGTTAGATGACCATTTAGATCCTTTCCAAGGAGCCTTGGTGGTTCTTTAGGATAAGCACTGGACTGCTAACCATGAGGTTGGCAGTTCAGACTCACCAGCTCCTCCACAGGACAGCAGTGACACTTTCCACTCCGGTAAAGATTTACAGCCACAGAAACTCTATACAGGGTTGTTATGAGTTGGAATCAATTCAATGGCAGTGGGTGGGTGTGATCCTTGGCAGTTCAAATTGAAAGCCAAGAAATGTACCATCCTTTCTTCCAACCCTCTCATTCACATGCTTGAAAATTATTGTATCTGTATTGCTGATGCACACTGGAAAGCAATGTTTCTGTAATTAAATTGCAGGAAAGTTAATTTGGTCTAGTTATTAATATGAAAACATTTTAATATTCATGATGATTTCACAAATTAATGGACAAATCACTAAAACAAACACACTTTAACAATTAGTTTTAGATTTGCCACTTTGATGCTTAGACTCAGAGCCTGTTCATGGCTCCAGTCTGTCTGCCCGCCTGCGTAATCACACACTGATTTTTCCTAGTCATGGTGTCTCTCGCTCCTCTGCCAAAAGCAGGCTGGCAACCCCAAGCTGATTGGAAGGTCCTTGATTGATTAATCGGTACCTTTGCCAAGCAGAAATGGTGCTAACAAATTGAATTACTTTCTAAACTGCCCATGTTTTTCAACCAGAGTAATCTAGAGACGTTTAAGGCCAAGTAATCAGCAGAACTTGCTTTGACTCTTAACTCTAAGAAAGGGTCCTTTAAGATTTTTTTTTTCTCTTCCTGTTATAACTTTACTCTGAAATTGCTTAAATGTTATCTGAAGAGTAAGACAAACTGAGCCAGTCATAGGATTTAAAGTGAGGTCAAAATTTTCAGTAAGCATGGTGAGTATATGCTGTTGTCGCTAAGTGCATCTAATCGGTTTCGTTTCAAAGCGACCCTACATAGTGTTTCCGAGGAGCTGCTGGTGAGCTTGAACCACCGACGTTGCGGTTCAAACTGACCTTGCAGTCCAGCGCATTAGCCCACAGTGCCACTAGGTGGCTTAAAAAAGGTTGTGGGACAATTGAATGAAAAGATTGAAATTTTACCATGAACTTTTTGATGCCCTCTTATACTTCTCTGTCTTTTATTGGCTACTGAGTCCTTCAGGTTTCTTGTACTTGGTAAATTCTCTCATAAGTATTCCAAGGAATATCTACAAAGAACCTTCTGCTAGAAAAGTTTGGTCAGCTGTTGTTGTTGTATGACGTCGAGTCAGATCCAACTCATAGTGACCCTGTATAGGGTTTCCGAGAGTCGCTGGTGGGTTTGAACTATGGACCTTGTGGTTATTTGCCATTGCTCCATTTTTAATTCTAGCCCTATTCAGGATACTTACTCTGAGGTTTACAAAGTTTCTAAAGATACAGAAACTATAAGCCACTGCCTACCAGGGTCCACACTCATTACCCATAATAACCTTTGTAGATCACTAGAGTATTCTAAGCCAGTTTGGGCTATGAAGGGTTCAAGTAGAAGTGGAGAGAAGGGCTTTCTTCCCTTTTGTTACAGCACCCAATGGCCAATACACAGTTCCTCTAACTTTCACTTTAGGCCTCCCACTGCACACTCGGATAGCTTCATGACTAGATGGAAGGACTAACCTTAGAGACAAATATCCTGCCAGATGCCTCACGGCTATTCACAGGACACCGAGGCTCTGTGCTGGTTTAGACTCTTCTGTTCTCCTCCGTCCATCTTGCACACAAATCCTTTCTACAGACCGCCAGACAAGCCCAGACATGCCGAATGCCACATGGCTGTGGCTGTGGCTGTGGCTCAGGCTCAGACACCAGGTTCCCAGTCACTTTTTATTGGACACCTTCTATGTGCCAGGAGTCTTGGTGTGGCACTATAGGATAAGCTCTGGACTGCCAACAGCAAGATCGGTGGTTCATATCCACCAGCTGCTCCTCAGAAACCTTATACAGGGTCGCTACGCATCAGACCCCACTGGACAACACTTAATAACAACACTATGCACTAGGCAGTGGGGGTCATCAGGGAGCTCCCTAGGAATTTAGGTGGCATTTGCTGAATGTTGGCCAATTCAGATCTTTACCCTAAGGAGGTATTCCACCTGCTGAAATGTCCCACCAATGGCAAAAATTACTCACTGACCTGGCAGAGAACCTCCTCTCATAGTAACTAGAAGTTTCACCAGTTTCTTAAACACTGTACCATAGACTGTTCCTCCCCAACACCCCTCAGGTTTCTACTGGACCACCCACATCTGTCGGCTTTTGCCATTACACAGCGGTAGCATCTCTTCCCTAGTCTTCCTGGCTTAAATTTTACTCCAGTTCTCCTCCGTATTTTGTCCCTCACAAGCAAAGAGGAAAGAGTACTATTGGAAGGCAACCCAAAGTAAAAAAAAAACTGTAGGGGGCTAGGTACAAAAGAAAAGTTAGATGGAAAACTTGTGCATTCTTTTGTTCAACTTACATGAAGAACGTGAGCGTAAACTAGTGTGAAATGATAAAATACAAATACAATTTTGACTGTGCTTATGAAATTTCTACCCCCTGATTCTGAACCCTAGTGTTTGATAGACAAGAGGATCAGTAATACCTAAAGCACTCAGTTTACTTTTGGATAACTAGAAAAGTCTTCTGTGTGGTACTCATTGATCTGGGGTAACACAGTTAGTTGCATGTCAGAAAAAGTGAGAAAATGGGCCCAGAATCCAGTTGAATTTTTTTGAGGGTGTACCTATACTGACTGTTGTCAAATGATTCATTTTGAAAGTCAAATTTCAGAGCATCCTAGTTTAGTTAGAAATTTGAAAGATAAGCGCTTGAAAACATTCAGCAAATAAAGCATTTCCAGGAGTCAATCAGATACAACCCAGCAAGTATTTCTTCATTGTGCACCTTCTTCCTCACTAAAAATATAGAACCTTGCATATAGTATAGGTGATGTTCTTATGTTTCTCATAGAGACCTTGTAATGGGGTTTCTGAGTCTAAATCTTTACAGTGATAAAAAGCCTCATCTTTCTCCCATTGCACATAGATGTTGTAATGTTCAATCGAGTGGATTCTGACTCATAGCAATCCTGTATAGGATTTCCGGGGAGCGGCTGGTGGATTTGAACTGACAGCCTTGTGGTTCACCATACAGTATTTATCTTACAGCACCACACCAGCATACAATTGTATTGTTAAGTTAGTTAGTGGAGTTCGTTCAACTCAGCAACTCTGAGTTTCCGAGGCGGGAGTAGAAAGCCTCGTCTTTCTTCCTCAGAACGGCTGGCGGACTAGAACCTTGGACATTATGGTTCGCAGTCCAGTGCTTATGGATGCACTGCACACCCCCAGCACATAGTAGGGATTAGGGAAAAGTGAATGGTTTGTTTTAGTCAGAACTGGACTCCCCCCAGTGTGTCTGATTTGTGCTTCCTGGCTGGGATCAAACAGCAGAGGAACGTGGGATAAGGAATGCCATCATACAAAGTCACAATAAGACCATAATTAGTATGTATATGAGTTCCTGGGTTTATTATTTTATTCAAAAGTCTATGAGGTGATCAGCCCAGAATATAAACGGGTTCAAATGCTGTTGAACACATTTACATTTTTAGTGTCGGGATCCAAATTTTCAGGTTTGTTACGGGGTTTTAAGTAAAACAATATGCAAATCAAGATCATTCTAAAAATTCAATCAGTTCTTCAGTTCGCATCCACCAACCCGTGCTGGTGCAGAGCTCCCCCGGGATCCTTGGCCTTGAGGGCGGAGAAGGGGCGGGGAAAGGGAGCCAGGGGCAGTCCCGGAGGCGGGGCCTGTGACGCGCGGCTTTGGGTTGGCTCAGCCGCCGGACCTCAGCCTCTCTTGGTGTCGGACTACCACCGAGGTGGTTCCACATCTGCAAAAGGGGCTCTCCGACTCCTGGCCGGGTCAGTCTGGCACTGGGTCGTGGAGGCCCGCACAACTCCCTCTATTCGCTTGAACGGGACCTCAGTCCCCAGAGTTTCAAGCAACTTTCCCTTCTCCCTGGCGCAACGGTGGCTCGAGGACTGTGGCCGCGGCAGGTAGCTCAATTACCGGCACCTAGCCTTCCTGCGCGCTTAGATCGCTCAGTCCCAGGGTGCATACTGGGGGTCCCTGACCTCGACTCTGTGGGCGAGATGCCCCTGGGACATATCATGCGGCTGGATCTGGAGAAAATCGCCCTGGAGTACATCGTGCCCTGCCTGCACGAGGTCGGATTCTGCTACCTGGACAACTTCTTGGGCGAGGTAGTGGGTGACTGTGTCCTGGATCGCGTCAAGCAGCTGCACTGCAACGGGGCTCTGCGGGACGGCCAATTGGCCGGGCCGCGCACCGGCGTCTCCAAGCGGCACCTGCGGGGCGACCAGATCACGTGGATCGGGGGCAACGAGGAGGGCTGCGAGGCCATCAGCTTCCTCCTGTCCCTCATCGACAGGCTGGTCCTGTACTGCGGAAGTCGACTGGGCAAATACTACGTCAAGGAGAGGTCCAAGGTAGGACAGGCGGTGTGGGGGTCCAGCCACTACTGCGGCCAGCGAGCACTGGGGCCATTCCAGAGTTCGTTGTCTGCGGCTTTCTCGGAAGCTGCAAGCAAACTTTCGTTTTAAACCAAAAAGTCAGCCTGATTTGCCCCCCAGCTCTCCTGAGCAATGATTCATGTTAAGGGCTCAGGTGTGTAATTATAATGACCTTCTGTTGACATCAGAATAATGGGTCTGGTGGGTGGTACAAACTAGCTGTGGCTTTTGATCCCTTTTTAAGAGATAGGGTTTTTCAAATATTTAAACAAGAGAAAGAATATTAGAAGCATTGTGTATGTTCCATACACGCGTGTATTCACCTTAAGTGCCTTCTTTAAAGTCATCTAATATTCTCTTTCATTGTGTTCACAAGGCATCCACAAAAACACTCTTAGAAAGTTCAGGAGACAGTTGTAATCTTGCAGTGTAGAAGCTAATCTGTGGGATTTGAACAGCAATTGTGGGAAGAGTCTGGCATGTGAAAGGGTAGAACTCATCTATAAAAAGTACAGAATCCATTCCTAGTCACATCTGAGTACTTACCTGTAGCTGATTAGACCCAGAACACTGTAAGATCACCATCTACTAGCTTTAGAAATCATTTCCTAGTGTTCCACTCAACACCACCACCTTCCTTTTCCTAACTATGCATTTAGGTTAAATCCAGGAATGAATTAGTCAAGTACAACTGGAACGAAAAACGATGTTGCTAATGTTTTTTTGTTCATTAGCGGAAAGTGGTTCCCTAGTTGGTGATTCATTTTGGAGATATATGCAGGTAGACTGGCAGAAATAATGGGAGTGTGTAGGTCACATCTATATATTATTTGCTCACATCTACGCTTAGCTACTCAGTGTTCCTTCAAATGATAACAGCCCATTTTTCCAGGGGACAATTCTGAGTGATTTCTGTGTTTTTTATTATGATCTAATGAAGAGGAATTCAGAAGTATAGGAATCTTTTACTAAAACACAGTGAGGCAAAGCATACGAGCCATGAGAGGGAAATGAACATTCACCTTTGTACTATTCTTTAAAAATCCATGTTGTTGTTAAGTGCCATTGAGTCAGTTCCCACTAGGAGCCACCCTCCAAGGAGCAGTTGGTGGGTTTGACCTGCCAATTTTATGGTTCACAATCCAGTCCTGATCCTACAGTGCCACACCAAGAGTCCCCAAAATACATGTTGTTGTTGTTAAGTGCTGTTGAGTCTGTTCCGACCCATAGCCACCCTGTGTAGGGTTTCTAAGGAGAGGCTGGTGAGCTTGTGGCTCAAACCAACTTTGCAGTCCAGCTCATTAACCTACAGCGCCACACCAGGACTCCCAAAATATATGCAGTGTTTCTCAATTCTAGATCAATTATGTGATAAAACAAGTCTTTGTTGACTCATTTGTCCCATAAGCTCCAAGGAGTGCTCTTAATCAAGGACAAGCCTAAAGAATGGAAATGTATAGGAGTGGAAGGGTCAATGTTAGTGAATGAAAGAGTGGAGAAATAGATCGCTGTACATCTTTCATGCTAGAAAGATTTAGAATATCCAAAAATATTATTAATAATCAAATGTAAATATAGTAAATCGTTTTTGAGTAAATTGCTGCTTTCTAAATTTTACTTTGGTTGGGGAAATTTGGAGTTGGCTGAACTCAGAAGTTTGTCGCTCTTCTTCTATCATTTTAATGGTGAATTGTTGTTGTTAGGTGCTGTCAAGTCGGTTCTGACTCATAGCGACCCTGTATAGTATTTCCAAGGAGCAGCTGCTGAGTTTGAACTGCCGACCTTGTGGTTCAAACTGATTTGTCTCTTGCATAGCTTGATTTTTGTACCAAACAACCTTATCTGTCGCCTGGGATGGATGAGCTTCAGCACAGCAGAGGTGCTTCAACTTGGCAGAACAAGATGGCTTCTTATCAGTTTAAAAATTTTCACTTTTATCTCACATGCTATGAAGTTTCCTCCCAGTATTCTAGGAGCAGTAACCAGAATTGGAAGAAAGAGGTCACTAACATTTTGAACTTTTCTTATTTACCTTTGATTTAATGGATTAGGGGATAGAGTTTCAGACTAGACTTTAACTCAACAAATTGAATTAAAAGTAAGGGAAAACATTTCTAGATATGATTCTTTATTAATGGTTATCTTCTGAGTAGAAAAAGGAATTTTGCAATTAAAACGTTCAGCAATTGAGTTTAATTAAAGGCAGAAAATTCATCTTGTCCACTGAAAGAGATGGGCTTGAGCAACATGAACCCATACCTAGATCTCCAACTTTCCTATGGCTGTTTTGGCACAAAGTTCCTCATTCCTGCCCTTCAGACAATCAGCTCTAGACTGGAATATTCCCTGACTGACTAAAACCAGATGTTGTAGCAGGCTTGAGAAAACAATGATAATATATCTATAAAGTCTGATTTGCTTATTTCAAGAAGTCTCCTTAGTGATGCCTTGGGGCCTTGGGTCTCTTGCTTGAAGCTTTTTATTTAAGTATTATAGAAACCCATTCTAAATTTCCATATGATTTACATTAGCCCCACCTTCACTTACCTTCTTTAATCACTTCTCTTTCCTCAGCCACACCTGTTTCCCAAAGTAGTCACCAGCCCTGTTTCCTGCTGCACCCTCAAATAGGTTTCAGTAAAAGCTAAAATTTTCAAAGGAAGACCTTGTAAATTTATTTTTAAATTTTATGTATAACTGTTTATTATGGAAGTTTTCAAATATACGTAAGTGTAGAGTGACTAGCCCAATGATTGTCCATCTCCCAGTTTCAACATTTGCCAATATATGCACCTATTTTAGAACAAATGTTTTTTCGTTATATTTTTAGTTTCTTGGGGTTATGCTTATTTGTTAATGCATCCACGTTAATGAAATACATTTTGGTGTTTGATGGACCTTGGAAAGTCATTAAAAAATGTAATGATACTGTTTATGTCAGGGAAGCAATAGAAAAGGCTCTGTGAATAAATCAAGTATACCAGCCTGGAACTCAGATGAAATTGTGGATGAGTGTGGAAAGAGATGTTAGAGACTTCCTACCCACTCACCCACCCCCAATAAAAAGAAAAGAAAAATGTTGTTATTGTAGGAATTTATCTACCTCCATTTTGTTGGAAGAATCCAAGGGTGCTGAAGACGAGGGAAAAGCTGTTTCCTATAATGTACAGCAGGATGGCGCCCCCTAACTTCAAGCATGATTATTGCTTTCAGGCTATCAAAGGATTTCTTATCTGTTACTCTCTTGGAGAACTGAGACCACATCCAAGATAAATATTGGTCATAATTTGTTCCTTTTGCTTTGCCTGCCTAGATTTTGAAAATGGCTGTTTTCCAAAGAACGTGCAATTTCTAGAACTAAAAGTACTTCTGCTTAAAGCAGCTCGCCATAGACTCACTAATTTGACTTTTTGACATTTTCTACCCCTAGATACAAATGAACTAACATAATGATAACCACCTTTTATAGGGAGCTCTTCTGGTGTCGTGGGTTATGGGATGGTCTGATAACTGCCAGGGCAGCAGTTCGAATCCACCAACTGCTCCTCAGGAGAAAGATGAGACTTTCTGCTTCCATAAACATGTACAGCCTCAGAAACCCTGTATAGGATCGCTAATGGTCTATACTGTTTTACATCACACACCCCTCACCCCCACTACCACCAGCTTTCATTGAGTGCTTTACTTTGTGTCTGGAACTGTGCTAATCGCTTTACAAATACTGTCTTACCAAATAGTCAACAAATAGGGTAATTAAATAATTTGCCCTAACAAGTAGCAGTTTATCACAGGGTTTAGCGGCTTGGACTTGGAATTACTAACTCTGTCATTTGTGACTTTAGGAAAATTGCTTAGTTTTCATCAAGTTTTCAAACGAGGGCTAATGATATTTTAAATCTTTTTTTTTTTTTGTGGGGGGTATTAAATAAATATTAATATTCGCTAATTAAATAATATACATAAAATTCTTAGCAGAATTCTGAGCCTTCATAAATGTTTTATGGGTGAGATTTAGGTTATAACCCAGTTCTGACTAACTGCTGAATCTCTTGTTCTGGAGTACTTTTAGACTATGGGGTTGTGAGGCAGGGGCGTATTACCCAATACGTGAGCTAAGTATGTGCTTAGGGCATCAGTAAAACAGGGGTATCAGCTGTACACAGCAGAGGCTCCTAGATGCCAAGCAGACAGGACACAGGAACAGTGAGTGCTTTCTCTTTTGCATCCAGTAGCTGCTATTTGCATTTAGAAAGGAGCTGCATATGGACCACTTACATACACACACACACAATATAGATATAATACACATATCCCATTCAAATTTGTGAGTAAGTAGAGGAGGCAACGGCACCAGAGATTTTCAATGTGTAAGGCCCTCAGAGGCCTTCATCTGGCCTATTGTGAGAGTTGTTGTATGAATAACTTTGTCTCCCTTTGAAAAAACAATACAGAGGAATGATGAACTAGCAAAAAGTTTATGAATTAAAAAAAAAAAAAATGACAATTAAAATAAAAAGACTTGTTAAGTTCCTCTGTTGTTGACTATTAAATTTGGACCCACCCTTCTTTTTGAAGGAAGGAGTATTGATTCTTAATGGAGCTTGTCTAAGTGGTTGCAAGCTACTTTAATCAAAAATGGGGTAATGTACTGCAAAGATCAAGTTCTCTCTTAGGACCCAATAGCAGAAGGCTGGAGCTGGGATCTGGGAATGAGAGATTCATTAGCATCCAGCACAGCTCCTGTGAGAGCCCTTTTGTCTGGAGTTTTATGGCCTCCTTCCTTATATCTCTCTGTCCTTTTTATTTCTTCTCTCACCTTTCAATCTCCAGCTTTGTCTGCTTTTCTATCACATGGCTAAAGATGGATGCCCTATAATTGTTGTTGTTAGGTGCCATTCAGTCGGTACTGCCTCCTAGCGACCTTATGCACAACAGAATGAAACACTGCCCGATCCTGGGCCAACTTCACAATCGTT